CCCCCCCCCCCGGCCCCCCCCCCCCCCCCCACCGCCCGGCACCCGCGGCAACGGCAGCGCGGGCTCCGCCGGCGGCGCCGGCACTCCGGTAAGGGGATGCGGGGGCTCGGCGGCAGCCGCGGCGGCGGCTTAGTACCTTGGGGTACCGAGGCGAGACGGGGCTGCTCCGGCTAGCGCTCCCCATCCCTCTCCCGGGCCTGGCGCCGCCGCTTTTGCGACTCGGGCGCTGCTCAGCAACCGCTGCCGCCGCCGCCGGGGTGGTGATGGCGGGGAGGGGGCCGGTCCCCGCCGTGTGCCGGGATCCCCGTGGGCTCCCTCACCTGAGGGTCGCCGGTGGGGCCTGAGGCCGCCGGAGAGGGCGGCGGAGGAAGGGGAGGCCGGGGCTCGGCGGGCGGCCGGGGCATCACCGTGGGCGGCCGGGCCGGGCCCGGGAGGGGGATGCCTGCGAGCCCCGGGCGGCGGCGTTGCCCCGGGCGCGGCGCGGGCAGCGGGGTTCCCGCAGCGCGGAGCGCGGCTGCCGCCGTCCCGTGCGCCGCGGCCGCAGGGCGCGGGGGGCGGCCTCCAACTTTCCTTGTCCCGGGAACTGCGGCCGCCCGAGGGGACGCCTGGTCTTGGCAGGGAGGAATACACGGGAAACGTGGGCTTTGAGTCCGGACCTCACGCTCTAGGGCCGCCTGGTAGCTCGAGGAAGTGCTTGTCTGTCGCGGGTACAGAGCCACCGGTTGTTGCCTGGGGCTTTTCCCACGGCGACCTTTCCTGTATTTCGGCACAACTGACTTTGGTCGTGGATCCTGTTAGTGGTGAGGCTCTGGCAATTTACTCTTAGGCGAACTCTTAGGCTTGACGTGTGCTCCGGTCTTTCACACGTGTGTGCAAGTAGGGCGCGCACTGTGTTCTTGATGCGCTGCGAGGACCAGGCTTTGAGGCTCTGCTCTCAGAAGCTCCTGGTTGAGGGTACAAGAGGCAGGAACTATAGTGCGGTGCTGCGGGTTGTACCAAGACGCTTAAGGGCAAAGACATCGGCTGTAAAATTGCTTGTTGAAGGACTGTAACTTCCTCGGGGCAGTACCTGCTGTAGCTGCACACATGGTACACTGTGATGCACATGCTGTGTGTACATGGATGTGACAAACAACCCTGCGTTCAGAACATTCTTGTACTATCTGAGATCTTGTATTAGCGCTTGGCACCTCTTGTTCTGTGTGTGTGTTTGTATACCGAAGCATACACATCAGCTGAACATTGTATGTTTCATTATTCGTGTGTACGTATATGCACACATACTCTTTCTCTCCCGAAGTACAGGATCTTAATGTCTAGGCCTGAAAGTTAATGCAGTAAATACTTCAAAAAGAGCGAGCATGAAAAGGTTTCTTGATTTCATAGTATTAATCTTATTTATTTTTTCTGAGTAATTTTCCACTTCAAGTCATCAAAAACTTCAGAAAAGTCTGAACTGCAAAAGCAAATAAGTGGCTAACTTGCCTATGCTGCTGGTGCTTGGTGTGCTTTTACAGATGACTGTTACAATTCCTTTCATTATTAAAGAAAATTAGCTATGAGGAATTGGTGACTCTGCTTTGATGTATTTCCAGTAGCGTCTGTTTCTCAGGTTATTGCAGGTGTGCTTACTGCCAGATTTTTATTGATGCTTGTTAGGGCTTCATGTGTATATGTACCTTAAGCAGGCACACTAGCATATTGCAGAGTTCGCATATTTTCCCAACTACATGTAATAAGACAGCCTTTTTCAAATTTGGAAGTATAATTATTACTCATATTTTCTGAGCAAGAAGTTCAGCAATGAGGGAAAGGCAGGAATCAACTTGGAGTGTTGAATCAGGCACGTTCACTCTTTTAGTGATGTAGCTGCCAGGAGACATTTGACAGCTGGGAAATACAGAAGTTCAGCTGGAAGTTGTAGCTTTCTTTCCCTTTTAGTCTGTTGTCTTTATTTGTTTAAAATTTTGGTGGTTTCATGGGCTGAACAACTGAAAATATGCTAGTTGTAGCTAATATGATATATATATAAAAAAGCTATACTCACTGGAGTAGAAATGGAGCTACTTCACCTTAAGTGAATCAGTAAAGGTTGTACTAAACCACATAGGGCTTCCCTTTGGTTTGACATTTGTGGTTTATGATCACTTTATTGACACTGCAAATAGAGACTTGATTGTATGATTGAATGCTTATGTATTATAAATAATGCACTCCATTCATAGTGTAAAAATTTTATTTTTGGTCTATTTCTGTCTTTGTGTGGCTGTATGGAAAAGGTGCTTTATCTGGCAGCTCTTTTCTAAACCAAATGATTTTCCCGGGCTTGGAAAGTATGCAGTTAAAAATAATAAATGATAATTTTATTTATAGTTTATCAGATCAGTCTGTTCATTGACATTTCAGTGGATAAAGATGAAGAAGATTTGGATTTGAGTATTTATATCTTGTTGCAGAGTCAGAATTAAAGTAAAAAGTCATTACTATGATCTTAGGCTGGTCTGGAGGGGGAGCTAGTGTCAAAGCAAAAGTGACTTAATTTTCTGGACGCCTTCAAAAGCTTGTTGTTTGGTCATAGATTATGCTTCTAATACAATAATGAAAACAAATATAGATGATACATGCTATGTATGATTGCATTAATATGCATCTCTTGTATGATAAAAATAATCTGCAAGTGAAGTGGTGTGTGATTTTTTTAGGGAAATAGAGTATGAGTTTTGCTATTGTGGAACAAAAACTATATCCAAAGAACTTTGAAGTTGCCAGATCAAGCTCTTATAAATCATGAAATGGCAGAATTGGAGGTTCTTGTAAGACATGTAATGTGGCCTATAAATGTAGTGTTAAATGTTACATTTTCCCCTACAATGTTGCTTTCAGTCTACAGCATAGAATGGCATAGATGGTGTTCAGTGTGTGACACTGAATCCTTTTTCTTGGTATCGAATAATGTGTGGCCTCACTATTTGTTTATGTGCTGTTCATACTGTACTTTCTTAATTTCCTCTTTTGCTGTTTCATTACCTTCTGTCTCTAGTGCCTGCATGTTTCACTACTAATATTTTCACATAAGTCTCCTGAGATGTATTATGTATTCCTTTGTGTTGAATATCCAATTTAGGACCTTTATGATATGATTTCTCAAAATAATGTTAGTGTTTTAATGATTTATGTGTTCTAAGATGTTTTCCCATAAAGATCTAATTTGCTAACAATAATCTGGCTTTTTTTTGGTTATTTTTAATAAATCCCTCAACAGGGATCCATGAATGCACATCTAGAAAAGATGCTTTATTTGTATGGTGTGTTGATTTAGACTGCAAGTATAAATGCTTAAATCTATTGCAGTGTTACTACCTCCAGGTAGTAAGTCCATAATTTTGGTGAAGAGTGCATTACTCATTAAAAGTTTGTGGGTGTTTTTGATACTTTTTTTTCTTTTAAAGATGATTTGTGTGCAAGAAAAAAGAAAATAAAAATTTCCAGGACAGTTATAATTCCCTCACTTGTCCTACAACACCTGTCGTATTAACAACACACTTGCCAACGTTTGCAGTGCATGTGTCAAGGTCATCATATCATATCATATCATATCATGTTGTTACTTATGTTTTTTTTCTAACACTTCTTTCAGTAACACAGCGAGAGTACCTTGGGCGCAAGGGCACAGAGAACAAGATCAAATAACCTTTAATTTTTGCGATGTGTCTATATATTTTTTTTGAGCCAACAGTTAGGTTTTTTATAGTCAACTGTTTAAAACTCCACAAAATTCTTTGCACATAACCAAAAGGTTCAACATTCTAAGTTAAAAAAAAAGTCACCAAGCCTGATGGACAGGGGGAAACCCTCTGCCCTGTGGGATTGCACGTATGACTAATATGCATATAGCATATAAGTCTTTTAAAATGTGGGAATTTGTCTATTTTGCCATGAGACTTGTGCCACTTGAGCTAGCTGGGAATGCGATACTAATAATTTGTAATTCAGCTGTGCTCAAAATGATGTGGTCTGTGTATGGTTTTCTGAGGTTTTTAAGTGTTTGAAACTAGAGTTGAAACTCTGGAATCTTGGATTGTATTCCACACTCTGGGAGTGAGCATGTTCTGTTGGATGCTTTTTCTGCTTATTCCTTGTGTGGTATCTCCCTGTCCCAATCTTCTTTGCCCTATTCTGAAATTTTCATCACAATCCTATTTTCCTCAAGTAAACTGTTTGTTTCTTGCTAAAGGGCTTCTTATCTGACATCCAGTATTGCTGTACATAGAGATTCTAACTAATAAATTGTTTATCCCAGTTTCTTTCACTGTTTGAATCCTTTCTGGCTTTTTGCAGTCCTGTCTTGCTGGTCTGTCCACTACCCACAGTTTCACATCCAGTTCTCTGTTATAAAAAGCATCTCTTCTCTCTGTGTTGTGCATTTCCATTGGCTCCTGTAGTTCTGTCTTCTGTAGTTTTTCACCTTCAATTTTGTGCTTCATTCTTCCTGACTTCTCTCATCTGAATTTGTTTTTTCCTTTCCTACCTGTCTTCCTATGCGTTTCAGACTTGGTCTGTATCCCAAACTCAAGATTGTGTTCGCTGTGTCAACTGTATAATTTTTTTCCCATTTTGCACTTCTGTCTTTAGTCAAATTTTATTGGTTCCTCTTTTCCACCCTTTTGTTTACATGGATAGCTTATGTTTTCATACTTGTTGGATCCAACAGGGGTATCACTGATAATAAATTTAGATGCTGGTGATCCATCCTGATAGTCAGGGAAGCAAGCAGGCCCATCAAGGGATGAGCTTGACTTTGTGGGGAACTCATGTCTGAGCTGCAGTGCAAAAATGGGATATACAAACAGGGGCAGCTGGGACAGGCTACAAAGGAGAAATTTAGAAAAATTGTCCTGGTATGCAGGGGTGGCACTAAGAGAGCCAATGTTCACCTAGAGATGACACTTAGGAGGCAGATCAAGGACAGCAAGAAGAGTTTCTTGTAGTACTTGAGTAGTGAAAAGCACAACAAATGAAATAGGAGATTCTTTGGGAAACTGATGTGTCACAGTGACAGTGAATACAAGTAAGGCTGGGGTACCCTGA